GATTGAACGGCTTGGAAATCGGCTTTCAATTTTCAATAAGTATCATGAGTTATTCGGCGACTCCGAGGAATTTCACACCACACTATCAGAAGCCTACGTTGATGCACTCGAGTTCCTGAACGCGGCAAAATGTGCGATGTCTAATAACGGCAAGTTACTGATAAAATACTAGCAAGACAACCAACTAATCCATTTGATTAAGGCCACCTTCTGCTATGGCTTCGAAGGGCTTGGAAAAACTTTGAGAGCGAGTTCAAGGAAATTGATGATCGTCTTTCACGCAGATGCCAGCACCTAGAATCCTTAACAACACTTATTCACCGAGACCGACTCCATAGCGATGTCAAGAAGCAAGAAGACTTTCGAGAACGGACTACTGAGATCCTAACTTCTCTGACCAAATGTCCACCACCTCGCTGCGCACAGGGTAGGAATGAAACACATACTCTTTACTCCTTAGTATTGCCCACGCTAGTACAAAATGCTAATAGAACCAATTTCCAGAGTCATACCAAGAGATAATGGCCTGGCTTTCACCAATTGATTGGTCTGAGGATCTTTTAAGAATTCGAAGGAAGCGCTCGCCAAATAGTTGCAGATGGTTGACTGATCACAGCTTCTTCCATGATTGGACCACATCAACAATTCCAGATTCATCTATCGGTTGGGTGTATGGAAGAGCCGGAGTCGGTAAGACAGTCGCTAGCTCTGCGGCCATTGAGACTTTGCAAAATATTACTTCGTCGAAAGAGGATCCTGGTGTTATTCTGTATTTCTTCTTCAGTGGCGCCGACGATCGAAGGATGACGACCTTACAGATGTATCAAACAATCATCTCTCAACTTCTCTCACAGGCGAGACCCTCCCTACTACCTCTTCAGCCTATCTTTGAAGTCGCAAAGAAATATGGAAGGTCACACTTGACATGGGCTGACGACCCTGTTTCAATATTACGACAGCTACTGGCCATACCGAGCGAAACATTTCTCATCGTGGACGCAATAGATGAATGCGAGGATGTCGAATCGTTTCTTCCTGACTTTCTTGATGTTGTCAGATCCGCTCCTGGATGCCGTACCTTGCTTCTCAGCAGAGACATCCCAGCTCTACGTCGGATTCTTGAGACAAGACCCCGGATAAGGATTACACCAACATTAACGAAAGAGTGTATTGATGAATACATCACCAACGCTATCAACGAAGTCATTGTAGAAGACGATGTCATACGGGCTGATATTCTACAACAGGTCTCAAACAGGACGCAGGGGATGTTCCTTTGGGCAAGCCTCATGATTCAGGAGCTGAAGGATGCAATATCTCCCGAAGACATGACAGCGATCCTCAACGAATCGCCGCCGGTACTAAATAGCATGTATAGAATGGCAACACGGAAGATGGAACAGCTACCGTCCAAGAGGCGACAGTTAGCCAAAAGGATCCTGAGTAGAGCAGTTTGTAGTGTTCGTCCACTGACATGGAAAGAACTCCAAACCTGTCTAGCTTTCGATTCGACACTTACATCAACAAGGCAACGAAGTCTAAGTAGGACTCTCCCTTACAAATCCATTGTCCTGAAGCTCTGCTCCCCTTTTATCGAACATCACCTCGAAACTGACACTTTCCGTCTGTCTCACATGTCAGTACATCAGTATCTCACAGCCACCGAAGAAGCCGAAAAAGACCAATTCTGTGTTGCACCAGAAGATGCCCATCGGGACATGGCCGCAGTATGTCTAGAGTACTTGATTCAACCCGAGGTGCATATAAACAACAATCTAGAACCTGAAGAATTCCCATTCACCGAATATGCGACATCAAACTGGTGTCACCATCTCATAAAGTCCAAACCGGACATACACCTTCACGACCAGGCAGTTTATTTTTTGTCCTCCAAGGACAGGCGACAGGCTTGGCTTTCAAGATGGATCTTGCTCGAAAAATCAGCATTTCCATTGCAGCAGATTCTTAGGCTAATTCACGAGGTGGGTCAGTGGCTGTCTTCAGTTGGCCCTGACGTTCGATCTCATTTTGACGAGCATGGGGATGCTTTGGACATCCTAGTAGCTTTCAGCCTTTCGCGGATCCAAGACCCCCAGGGCGAATTAAGTGTCAAAGCAGTCGCATCCAAGAGAATCGGACAATTCGAACGGATGATGGTTATCAGGGAACTAGCTAGGGAGTACACGATTGCAGGTCGAATTGGAGATGGCGTCAACCACGTCAAAACACAACTCTCTCAGATGGACGCTTTGAGCATTCCGCCAGTCGAATCTGTCTGGCTTCATAGCAGCCTTGGTCTTCTTTACGACCAGCAGGGAGAAGTCGATTTAGCATTATCAACACAGCAAAAAGCTCTATCAATCCTATTGTCGTCACCCTCTCATGATGAATTCGAAGCCGCGCAGATCACGAATGAGCTAGGGCGTTTATATCGTCATCAGCGTAAATACAAAGAGTCCGAGGAGATGCACCTAAAGGCATTGACCTCGCTTCGGCAGCTGTTTCCAGCCACCGATTTCCAGACCACACTCACCTTAAACACACTAGCGCGATGCTATAGGCAGCAGGGCCGTTTGGAGGAGGCTCTAGCCTTCCATAACGAGGCCATTGCTGTCCAGAAGACTGTGCTAGGATTGGAGCATCCCCATACGCTGTGGGTTCTCAGCGACATAGCAAAATGTCACCGTGACCAGGGCGATATGGCAAAGGCGTGCGAGCTACAAGAAGAATCAGTAAGACTACGCGAGAAAGTCCTTGGTCCCACACACCACGACACTCTGTGGGCATTGAATGATCTCGCCGTCATGTATGAAAAAGACGGGCGCGTCGACGAATCATTCCAAATCCATTCTAAGGCGTTGGATGGGCAGAAAGACACACTGGGAGTTGATCACAAGGCAACCGTCTGGACTGCCCAGGCTATCGAGAACTTGCAGCATAGGAGGCGTTAGTCCCTGGCTTGACGTTCAATTAGATCCTTCATAGATTACCCTTTTACTATATACTAGTTGGCTAAGGGTAGGTTTATATTTAGATAACTCACGGGGCATTTAATGCTACCTGGTTTCTTAATAGTTTGCTACAAGCGCTATCAATCCGCCTCGATCCAACTGCGGGGACAGACCGACGTTCTAACGTCCAATTTATGTGCATAAACATGCCAAATAAACGGCATTTTTTGACGGTGGAACTACCCAACGAGGATCCAATAGAATGAAGATTATCCGAGTTGGCGATACATTCCCGTTATGTTTACGTCGGTGTTGAGTTAAAAGGGGTACTCGGTTTAGAAGGTATTTCTAGCCAAACCATTGACAGTCAAACGAAAGTCGGTCTTATGCTCGGACTGAACATGCGAAGCGCGGTCGGTTAGATACCTAACCTGGCTAATCAATTCATGAGGAAATCCACCTCGTCACGATGCGAACATGGAAGCACGAGAAGGAACTATGTTGTGGCACGAAGGGCCCTATCTACGAGCTAGCGGCCACGGCCGAGTCCAAGGTCCAAATGCACGATCCTGGCCGTGAAACGCCTGGTGGCTTCAGTCACTAGAGTCCTAACAATCGCTGTAAATGGGGGAGGGGATGTCGTTTGGAAATGGTATACATATTACACATTTTGTGGTATTATTCTACTTCCGAGCAGTGAAACCCCATGTTGAATAGGGGAAACTGCCTCCTGGACTGACAAATGATGACCTGTCAAGTCATAGACTTGGGTAGAGCGAAGCCATGGTTGGATTAGACTAGACCGAAGGACTTAACCTTTATAAAGGCTAAACGGACACTTCTCAAAATATTGCGAATACGTTGCCACTTCAATACATTGTAGATTCATGTACTATGTAGCTCAAGGTTTCAATTTGAATTTATGTTATTTAATTTCACTTTTTGAAGTAACTTGTGGTAAGTAGATAATGTGACAGAAATACCCAAATTAAAATCATAAATGGTAAGTGAGGGCTAGATTTAATAATAAAAACAACAACAGAAGAAAAAAAGGATATCCTATACAACTGGTGTTAGTAGCTTGTTCCATTATGAGATTTGGGGGAAATATTGAATATGTAGCTAGTCAGATAAAATGGGAAGGAATTGGGTAATCATAGCACATCAGAGGATGTAGAAGGTTGTTTGTAATCATACTAGGAATTGGGAATTCTTTTTTTGCTTTGGGGTGGGATCGAACCCAGGGTTGTAGAACTTACCATAATTGTTTTACCACTAAGCCGCAGCCTCTTTCTGTGGTACTGTTAGAACTTGCTATTATTAATTATATGTGTATCCAACCAAGGAGAGGTTGCTGGCGAGACCAGAGGCAACGGTTGGGGTATCTCGACGGCCAGTGAAAAGAGGGCGAGTGTTGTTACGATATCTTCGAAAGCTTGGCCTGTACTCACGACAGCTGTGTTCGTAGGTGTTCCTAGGGGTAATATTAGGTGAGATTACGTTCAGATCCAATATACACGAGGAGTCATTAGACTCCTCATTAAGGTCTTTTACTATCCTCCTCCTCTTCGTTGTCGTTTCAACGAAAAACGAATATGAAGACGATAAGCTAACACTTAATGAAAGTCAAGAACAGATGCGTTGCCTTTGTGCCCTAGGAAGGTGGCCACATATGCAGAAATTATTTCTTTAACTTAGCTGTGAAAGGTGTTCTGGCAATAAGAGAAGCTCTGAGAAAAGATGGATGGTAAATCCTTACTCGTATGCTTTCTTATAAGTATTTGGCTGTTGTCACCTATCTGAATATGCTGCGGCCATATGTATAGCATGGCTGCACCAATCATCAAGAGGGAATCAATTGCTTACCGATGCAATCTAGAGTGACAATGGATGGGCAAGTCAAAGGAGAAGTGTGGCACGTGACAGGAGAATAGGGGCTAGAGCCAACAACCAAGCTTTCACTTCTCTTCTAAAGCCATGGTAGATGAGGATAGACTTCATCAAACAATTGGAAGGCAATGTAGAAAAGAATATCAAGAAATAATTTGACTCCGGCACGGGGAATCGAAGCCCGAGCTCCTCGGCGAGAACGAAGTATGTTAGCCATTACACTATACCGGTTACTCTAGTCGGTCCATATGGAGGTATATTAAATTGAGCTCAGTTTTACCATCATATGCTAATTGTCAAACAGTTTGGGACCCCTTTAAACAAACCAGAAAGCTTGATGTTACACCTTGCTACCTAGGTACCTAGGTACGTAGTGGATGTATTCATTATCATATTTGAACGAAAGCTGACCACGGAATAGAATTATGTACTTTGTGTGTTATCTTACACCTTATTATATCTGTTCTTCTCTTGGACTGTCATTATTACACTTGCTTGGAACCCATTACTTGTGATTGCCATTAGCTGGTTATCCTGTTCCATGGAAGTGCGCAAACTTGTCACCAATCAGTTTTCCTGGACCCTTAGTGTCGAACTATCAAAGGTTAAATTCTTCAATATAGTATTAAATCCTCACAACTATGTCTCTTTGAGTTATGACAGCATCTCATGCCTCCAATACTGCGGCTGGTGTTCCGTTATCCTGTGGTCCCCATCTACTTCCGCCATAGGCACGCCCCCAAGCTCCTGCGACTGATGGGTAGACCCCACGGCGCTGTAGGCTGGGTACGAAGCCCCCGTGCCGCCGTCCGATTGACTCGGGGCGGGTGGCATCCTTATATCTCTTTTCTTCAGCCATCTCCGGATGAAGAAGCCCACGGACGCCACCACGACTGCGACGGTTCCTAGGGTCGTTCCCACGGCTATACCGGCGATTGCCCCTGCGCTCATCGATGTGCTGGTACTACCTGGAGCTGCGGCACTTTGGGCTGAAGGAGGAGGAGTCGAAGTGCTACTCGACGGGGAGGATGTCGCAGTAGTAGATGAAGTTGACGCAATTAACGACGACGACGACGACGACGACGACGACAACGTTGTAGTGGACGTGGACGTGGACGTGGACACAGAAGCAGTCTGGGCCTCTACGCCATATATGTAGAAGTAATGCGACGTAAAAGAGTACTCGTCAGTACCAACCGTGAAGTAGAACGCATTATTGATCGTCGGGTCTAGTCCCATGTACGAGACGGTCCAATGTAGTCCCTGTAGATTCGTGTTCTCTATTTCGAGTCTGAGATTAGTTAACCAGGACCATAACCGCTATGTAAGCTGACGTACGTAGTATAACCGCGCTCGATCCGCCGACCATGTCGCCTGGTTTGTTGTCTTGAGTTATCGTGAGTTTTGCGCCGGTGAAGTTCATGGACCACGCTAGCTGTACGGTCGCTCCGATGTTGTATGTTGGGTTTTCGCTGTAGTCCTTAGTGGGACCAGGGCTTGGGGGAGTTTGGAACACATTGGTTTCTGCCGCTATACTTTCTACATATACAAGAAACACGAAGATCAATGGAAGAAACATGATGTATCACGGCCCGCAGCGCATGAAATCTAGTCAGCACGCCGTATTGAAACAGAATATGGCCATAGGCTAGAAATTCATGTTCTCTTGAGAAACAGCCAAGAAGGTTGCAGTAACAAGAGAGTCCCCAAGTCGAGGAAGCCACCTCGAGCTCATCATACCTACTCTCACCAAGTGCCTAGAGCCTCGTTCTACGCCCCCGCCAGCCTAACTCCCGATATTGGTAAGATGAAGGATCTCAGTCCTAGACTCTGCATTTGGATTTGGAGTACCTTCAGAAGTAAGTGACTTCCTGCTATTACTGTAGGGCCAATTGAATTAAAAGGTCGTTTCAAACCTGCTGCGACCCAATCCTTTGGCTGCAGGTGCGGGAGTGATGGAGCACACCATTGGGTACCATCCCAACACCATTTTGACAAGGTTAGATAAAACCATCATTATAGACGCGATGTTAAGCGAGCGACGCATATACCCATGTACTTACTGTAGATGACTTAAGAACTAATGAGGAATCTTATTGTAGCTTGACGCTCTTCGAAATATATATAAAATGATGGATATCTATAGGTACCTAGGTAGGTAGGTAATAAGAGTACACACAAAGTAAGCCCTTAACTTCGACGCCTCTTTATCCCAGCCGGAACATCATAGCATTGATCACCATGAATGCTCCCGCGACCCAAGTGCCATCTATTGGCCCATCTATTTGTCGTTCTCGACAAGAATGCCGCCCTGGGCCTTCTCCGCATCGGTCGTGACCGAGGCGGAGCCGGACCTGTTCTCGCGGTGCTCCGTGGGGAGCGCGTGCGCCTTGTGCTCGTCGGTCTCCTCGTACGCGATGAGCAGCTCGCCGTTCTTACCGTAGCGACGGGGCTCCTTGTCGGCGATGTGCACGACGTTGAACCAGCCCTTGCCGCCGTGCACCTTGTGGAAGATGGAGTCCATCTCCTCGAGCGAGCGGTACGCCGTCTCCGGGAAGAAGAAGTACACCGCCGGCACCATGAACGCGTTGATGGCCGCGAAGATGATGTAGGTCTGGTACCCGATGCTGTTGAACGCCACCGGCGTGATCATGACTACCATGAAGTTGAAGATCCAGTTCGACGACGTCGACAGGGCGTTCGCGGGTGCCCGGATTCGGAGAGACGTGATCTCGGCTGGGTACAACCAGGCTGTGGAACAAGAGGAGTTAGCACACGCAAATTTGAGCAAATATTTCCGAGCAAACATTATGCAGTTTGGCCGAAATGCATGACGCAACTTTGGCTTCTGGTAGGATCTCGATGATGTGCAGGAGGGGGAAGGTAGGTATGTAGTGTAACATGAAAACGAAAACAGAAAGAGGAAAGAGGAACGTACTCATTCCTAGCCAACCGATCGCGAAGAACGTGTTGAAAATAAACAGGAAGGCGACAGCAGCGACCTGGGCGTGGCTGTTGGTAGGGTCGGAGTTTACACCCGCCAGAATAGCCATACTCATAGCCTGGCCGGCGGCACCGAAGAGCATGAGCTTTCGGCGACCGACGCGCTCGACGAGGAATACGGCAGGCCACGAAGCGATGAAGTATTCCGTGCCGTTGATAGCGGCAAGGAGTCGGGCCATGAAATCACTCATGCCGAGTCCGCTATAGATCACAGGAGCGTAGTACGTAATCAGATTAATGCCTGAAACCTGCTGGAACATCTGGTTGACGACTGCGAGCATTGTTCGGTGGAAATTTCTATTACATAGAATTAGCACTTTGGATGCCTAGTTGGTTCGATGGATTAGTATGAAAACGTTATACGTACCGATCCTTATCCATGGTGAACAGGTCAGCAAAGGTGCCCTTCGACATCTCCTCGACGGTCTCCTTGATGGCAAGAAACTCGTTGACGACCTCCTTGTCATCGACCGGGACGTCCGCCAACGCGGCGAGAACTTCCCGGGCATCGTCCTCGCGGTTCTTGAGAATCAGCCATCGAGGGGACTCGGGAAGGTTCCAGATGGAGCCGAGGATGAACAAGCAAAAGACGATCTGGAAGGCGAGAGGGAATCGCCATGCGACGCTACTCTCGATAAAGCTGAAGCCAAGGTCGATCCAGTAGCTTACCATGATACCGCAAGTGATCAGAGCACCTTCTATCATGACCAGTTTACCACGCTTGTGGGCACGCGATGTCTCGGATTGCCACGTGGGGACGGTTGAGGTGTTGCCTCCATTTCCGAAACCAGTGATAACACGGCCAATGATGAAGTGAGGGAGCGTGGTAGCACTGGCCTGTAAGATAGCGCCGATAATCATGATGGAGGTACCGAGTAGTATCATACGCTTACGACCGAGCGGATTGGAGATGAAAATAGTAGTGACAGCGCCGACAAAGCATCCTAGGTTATATGCCGCAACGGCAATTCCCTGTGTGGTTGATCTCGTTCCCGCTTCTACACTGTCTATACCCGCAGCCTTTGGATTTATACCTGGGAAATCTTCAAGGAATTGGTGCATCGTGAGAATGCCACCCATTACACCCTGATCTAGCACATGTTAGGCTTCTTGATTTGTTTATTAGCAACATGTTGGAGGTGAAGTACCGTATCCGAACAGCAGGAAATCGCATCCTGCGATAATGCCTATGGCATAGTTGAGCCAGTGGCCCCGAAGGCCGAAGTACTTCCCCATGGTGAATTAGGATTGGGTGAGTGTATCTCAGTAAGTTGTGCGGGGGTGAGACTCGAATGACCATCGATTGTCTTTATACGATAAAGTTCTTTGTTTACGTATGAGGTCCGTGGGTCGAAGTTGGCCCTAGGGTCACTATTAAGCTGATGGGCGTTTCAAAGGTATGCTTTTTTTCCGAAGTCGATTAGGTATAACACGGCACGGAGATACGCTCCGCTGTCGGTGTTTATATAGGTGGTATCCTCGGCCAAACAATAGGTCACACGCACATGAGGAGGGACAAAGGAGGAGAGAGAGAGCCCGTGGGTTTGGATAAGGTGATGGCAAATATATAACTTCTAATGTAAGGGTGGTGATACAACAGGCAGGTCAGACAATAAGATGATATAGTAGACCGCTACCCGACAAACTCATACTTAATCCTTGGGTACAAGAGCCGGGTGCGCCTACCTGTAAGTGCGAAAAAAATGGAACGTCGGCTGCTAGAGCTGGTGGGGGCTCTGAACCCGTGCGGGATCGACATAGATGGCATGGTGTATGTACCTGAAGCCGGCGGCGCTGGCTGAGGTGGAATGTGGAGGACCTGAATGCTAGGTCGGGGCTCTTCGGGACGTTGACATATCTACCTTACATACTAAGTAATCGTTTTCAATCCAAACCGTCCCAATCAGAAAAACCGATAGGCAAATCGGGGCTAAAGATGATTCGATCTCAATTCCAACAAACACAACCCCATACTATGGTATACCCCATGGGAAGGTGATACCAAACAATTGGACGATTATGCAAGTCAGATCGCATCAAATCTAATCACCTGTAAAGTGTAAACTTTCCCATGGGGGAACATGTGGTTTCTTTGGGGCTCCCATTTATTTTTCTGGGTTATCTGGGTTTTCTGGGTTCCAACTCCAGCAAACTCCAGCAAACTCCAACAACCCCATTCCAGCCATTCCAGCCCTCCCCGCAAAGAGACTAAGGTGATCCACCTGGCG